TAATCAGGTGATGAATAGTAGTAACCATATGGAAACTAAAATGTGTCTGACAGGGAGAAATGAAGGCCCTGAAAGAGCAGCTGCGGCAGAAGGAGGAGCAGCTGCAGGCCAGCCAGCAGCAGTCCTCACTGTTATCTGCTGAGCTGAGGGACGCCTCTAGCACCCGAGACCGTACCATGTCTGAACTCTACCGCATGAAGCTGGAGGCCGATGCCCTTCGCCAGGCCAAGGCTGAAGCTCAGGCCCAGTGTGCTCACCTGGAGTGCCTAGTAGATCAGTTGAAGACAGAGGCCAAGCAGGAAGCAGTAAGGCAGTAATAATCAGTCTACGTATGCTGTGTTCGGTGGAGCCAGCGAGAAAGTCTGAAGAGCAAAATAATAGAAGCAACAAAAAGCCTCTTTCACAGGGAGTTTTACTGCTTCTGTTTTTAAAGCAGGCTTTAATTCTTACTGTAGTTCAGACGTGGTCATATGTAAACTAAATAAAAAAACAAAAAAAAAACAAGACCGCGTTCTTCCTTATCAGCACAGTTTCCTGGGTACTGCTCTACAGTACAGCAGCTTTTTATCAATCGCCGCACATTCACTTTTGACCCCCCCACCTGTGTGGGTGTGTATATATGTATATATATCTGAAAGTTGTATTTGACTTTGTAGCTTGCTTTCAGTCATTAAGGGTTTTCTTTCTATATCTATAACTTCATAAGGGTTTAATGTGCCTAATCTTGTGTAATGTTTTCTGTCACCAGACCAAAGCAGAGGAGGAAGCTGCTGCAGACCCAGCTGTTGTAGCAGAGTTGCAAAGGGAGGTGGAGGACCTGAAGCTGCGGCTACATATGGCTGCAGAGCACTACAAGGAGAAATACAAGGACTGTCAGCGACTGCAAAAACAAGTGCTTAAGCTCTCAGAGCAGCAAGGGGTAGGCAAGGATTCCTGCCCATCACATTCTACTAAATGCCCCCAGGGGCAAAAGCTCCTCAGTCTGTGTTGCTGATTTTTTTTATTTATGTATTTATTTTGTTTTTTTTACTGGAAGGAAATAACTGTAAGAGTAGATGATGACTAACACATCTAAACATGTACATTTTAATGCCCCCACATAAAGTAAGCTTTATTAAATATACATATAAATATTTATGTTTGTATCTAGCTCACGTCTGGATCAATTTACTGTTTTTCAGTGTTACTTTTTTGTTATATTTTCAGTTGTTTATTTCTTGTTGCATTTAGATTTAATTTGTACTCATTGTTTCCTGTCTAAAGGAGCTGAAGAAAAACTCAGCACAAGAGTTCACAATAGTCCCTGCATCAGGGAGTCCAGACACATCAGTGCCAGGTACATTTGTTTCACTATGCCAGATTGTAAATTTGCATTTTAAACTGTGGTCAGCAGCAGTGTCATTTCTTTCAAGGTTGTTGCCTTGTGATTCTTATTTCCACATTAGAAATAAATCAGTCAGATGTTTTATTTTGGACTCTGGTTTAGTCACAATAAAGTCTGTATAATTAGGTAATTTGTCATTTTAATAATCACCAGACAAACCTATAGCAAAACTACAGGACTTGCTTTTATGACCTTTGCAGGGAGTCCAGGCTCTGCTGATCCCATGCTGGAAGCCATCATCCAGGAGAAGCTCAAAGGCATCAGCAGAGAGGGGTCTGACAGAAATGATAAGTACAGGAAATGCAAGCAGATGCTGATGGTAAGAAGTCTATCTTTTGCATCCTGTTTCTAGTCATATATCCCCAAATTGGATGTTGAACCCCCAGTGTGAAGGACTTCTGTAGTATAAAGGTGTGGTGAAAATAGGGTTGGTTGATGTCTGATTGCTGTTTAGGAGGAGAAGGAGCGTAGCTGCATGTTTGCTGATGAGCTGGCCAAGATGGAGGTGAAATTTAAGGAGCAACTGAAGACCAATGAAAACCTGAAGCTGCAGCTGGCAGCAGAGGAAGATCGCTACAAGGTTAGTATAGCCAGAGTAGAGACACTTTGCAATGCTCAGGGCATCAGCTGCCAGTGATGCGCTGGTGCCTTGATGCAGGTCTGTCTCTGGACTCTGCTGTGTTTTTCCCGCTGTGTATGGCTGGTCTAGCTCAAGGCTCGAGCCTTTGATGCTATCTCTCCCTTTGAAGAGAGTCACTCTGACAGTGTTGTTTATGAGCGGGCCTATCTGTGAGACGACATTTTACTGCTGTTTATGTCAGGCTCTGGAGACAAACGAAGCTCGGCTCAGAGGAGTCATCTCCAGTTGCCTGGCTAATGCTGTGCTTGGCTCAGGTCAAGCGGATATTTGCTTAATGTCTCAGAAGAATTTAAACTAGCTGTTTTGCTTTGAGTGGTATAGTACATAAATCAGTTCTCAGAAAAGGGAAACTTTTAATGGTTCTGATCAATCACTGTCACACATTGAGGTCTGAAAATATTCTAGTAATTTTTTTCCCCTTTAATTCATTTTTCAATCAGCAGCATATGTCAGAAGTTTGAGAATGGACAACAGCTCTTGATTTATGTTTTTGTGTCTTTTGTTTACTTCAGAGCCAGATAGCTGTGAAAGGACGGGAGCTGAAGGAACTGAAAGAGACACTAGCACTTGTTGTGAAAGAGAAAGAGAAACTGGAGGGGGTTAGTGACAGCTTTCATTTTCTCTTTTATAAACTTCTTCCACTATAAAAAAAAAATCCCCTCAAAAGTGGCATTCCACTGCCATTTTCCCCTCTTCCAATCTGTTCTGTGCTTAATATGTCTCTAATTGTAGAAGCATAGTTAATGACTTCTTATTTTCCATTCGGTGGCGTCCTCACTGACCTAAAATATTGCTTTGAGCAGGACGACCCAATTTGAGGTTCAGACTGTAAATTAGTGGTGTCTGCAACTAACATTGATAAAACACAGCATCCATTCCCTTTGAAAATGAGAAGTTTTTTTGTTTTTTGTTTTTCTTTAAGCAAGGCACTAATTAAACTGTGTGAGCAAAAGAAAAGGCAAGAACTCTCGGCTCAGGAGCTGCTGTGTGCTTTGTCTTTGGGAGGCCTATACAGATGAAATGGATGTATAGCTCCTCAAAAATGTTGCACACACTGGCATTTAAATCTACCGGTGCTCATTGTTGTTGTGCAAAATTGTTTGAATTCTGCTGTTGTGTGGCCCAGGAGCTGCAGAAGGTCAGCACCAGCAACAGCAAGGGGGATCAGGGGACCAGTGAGAAAACCAGTCTGGAGAGCATCCAGTCCAGTGTGCCTTTATTCCTGCAGTACCCAGTCCCTTACCCCCTAGATGCCCCCACACCCCTGCTGGTCGCTCAGAGCCCCAGCAAATTGCATTTTGGGAACCCTTACATGATCTCAGACACAAAAGGTTGTTTTTTTCTTCTTCTTCTTCAGAAAGTAACATACACCATTCACCACCAACAGAAATAACGGACTTTTATTATGTCTCTGGGTTTTCTCCCAGCAGATGAGGCAGATGAGGAATTCTCAGATGACCAGCTGCTCAGGCTGCCCCCTGTGGGTCCACCCTCTTGGGACAGTAATGTTGTGTGTATCCAACCCTCCCGCAACCACAGCCGGCCAGAGGGCCGCGAGGAGCCAGAGGAAAAGCAAAACAACAACGTAAGAGTCACTCCCATGAGCAGTATGCAGTGAAATGCTGTTGACCTGATTTATTTTTCTCTCTCTGCCGTTAAATATTTACACCATATAGTATAAGTGGATTGATTTTGTAAATGATTTAAATTTCTTTCCCAGTGTAATACCAGTGAACAGCCAACAGCAACTGAAACACGGAGCCCTTTTGTGAACGATGGACAAAATGCCTTCTGCTTTGATCCCAGGTAACACATGCACAAACTCCAACTTTGCTGCACCCTATATTTTCTAAACCTGTGCACTATAACATGTGTAAAGTGTTTGATAAGCTCATTGTTGTAGTAGGTTTAGTGGCTCTACAACACTGGTTCTGCTGCACAACCTGCTTTTGTTGGCATTACTTGAGCAGCAGACCACCCACATTGCATCAGACAGATGCCCTTTATTAGTCTTCGCTCCTTGTTTGCCCACATCATCACTTGACTGCTTATTAACATGAGCTTTCTCCTCTGCTATCCCTTTCCCATGTGCAGCATGGACATGAAACGATGTCCGTTGTGTGAGGTCATCTTCCCCCCCAACTATGACCAGAGCAAGTTCGAGGAGCATGTGGAGAGCCACTGGAAAATCTGCCCCATGTGCAGCGAGCAGTTCCCACTGGACTGCGACCAGAAGGTGTTTGAGAATCACGTACTCACTCACTTCGATGGCCAACCGCTCAACTTTGACTAGAGAATCAGATAATCAACACATCAGCTCCGCCTAGTTCCTCTCGCCACTGAAATAAATTACTCTGCACCCTTTTCTGCATGTAATGGTGTGAAGATCCACTCTTTAGGACTATACTGATTTGTTATTAACTTAGAGAAACACTTTGAAGTGATGTGACATTTTAAAAGGTTATTCTAATTCAATGTATATTGCAGGGGTTTTGAATCTGTTTGCAAATCAAACATTTTTATAGGTGAAAGAGCTGACTTCATTTGGATTAGAAGAACAATTCTGTTGTAGGTATGTATGATGACTAAAACCGACTCGGCTCTGTTGGACTATAGGACATAACGAATCAGGGACAGAGACAAATGTTTACTAAAGTTAGATTTAGAAACAAACCAAATGCTTCCCCCTTAAACATCACTGTACAAATCATTTGCTGATTATTTTTAGAAAGAAGCCTTGGTGCGCTATATGCAGTCAGGGAGAAATCTTCAGTGATTACATCCAGACATAATTATACAGTATATCATTAGATCATCTATTTTACAATAACTAAAGTCAATGATATTGTGAAAGCCTCGGTACTTTGTGTGTGATATAGATTTGTTTTTATGTTTGATTTTGTTTGATTTAGGTGTCTGAATCCTTAAGGACCTTCATATCACCAGCTAGTCACTGCATGCTTAGCTTTTGTTGGATTTTCTTTTCTTCTACTCTTTTGCAGAACTAAGTTATTTCATTCATAGACATATTTGTTAGGCGAATTTCCTGTATCTAAAATGAACCAATAAAGTCTGTTTGAAACTGTGTGTATTGTGTCAAAACGCAGTTAACAACACAGGAATCTTTAGGCAAACAGCAGAAGAACTTTAATTTTAAATGTAACAAAAGTTTACATGAAGCAGCTTTATAAAGAAACAGAACATCACCATTTGTTTCTCCAAATTACCTCTGGATTTGGCTTTTCATACACATTATACTAGTTTTTTTAAAACTCCAGAAACATATGAAAATATAATTTAATGCACTTAACACATGACAATACATTAGCTGTACACTATATGAAAAACCTTCCTCCATACTAACAATACAATACTGTCACAATAGTTCCTTAACACTAACATCCACACAGTGAAGATGTTATCTAATGGCTCATTGCTGATTGATTCCCAGTCTTTTGGTGGTCTGTGGTTCATTATTTCAGAGATGACTGATCTATCATGATGGCACAAAGTATGTGCAGCATATGTTTCTCTCACAGCGTAACAGCAGGACTGTCAATGTAAATGTGCTATATACATGGCTAATGCTGGCCCCTTTTTTCCCCATCTGTATCCATGACGGGGACAGCCACATGGTTTCTTGAGACCAGGGTTGTCAGTGAATGGCAAACAGTCTTGGGCTGTCTGCATTCAGCTGAATTTGTCTGAACTGTCAAAATTAAGTCCTACAAAAATCTGCACTGATTGGAATGGTTTACAATTCAAGATGTCTGTGCACATTCCCAGTCATCCAGGTCATAGTAAGCTGAAAAAAATCAACTGGACTCGATTTCACCTCTCATCCAAGAGGCTTCATCACTTCTGACTGATGATACAATTCAAGGCAACTATTGTACATACAGAAATCTTGCAATACTGGAAAAACTGGAGATTTGGTACACATAGTCTCTTTTTCTACTCTGAAGGCCTTTGGCCTTGTAGCTAGTGTGCGTACACCAGAGACGACTGGCAAAAACATGCTAATTTGTTGGCAACTTGGTACAAAAGTGCTTCAATCCCTCACTGTAAAATAGGAAGGAAAACTGCTGATGTTTTGAGGAACGTGATCTGGAACATTAGAAACAAAGATCATGATTCTCCTTGAATAGCATAAATACTATTAGTACACTTGGGCAGGATTGTGGTGCTGAAATGCTTGCAAATGTCTCCTGAGATCATCCTTTGGTGCTCACACACAAGTGTTTGCTGTAAAACATGAAAACAGGTTTGGAATACTTATGAAAGGAAAAGCAACTATTTCCAGCTACTGATTATTAAATCTGATAAAGGACTAAATGTGCATTTGAGGTTGGAATTCTCATCTTATACCACACAGATTGTTTTTCATTTGCCTCTGTCACATTTTTGCTCAAATGGGACTAAAGGCAAAGTAATGATTTCTGCTTTCTCTACAGAAATATCCAAATCTTTCCTCAGTATCTTATGACTTCATGCTGCCTTTAAGGCAGGATGCCCTACTGTACATGCAAGACTAGTTGTGACTTGGTGTGACCATTTACTAGTCCTCAGCATGCCCTCATCAATGAGCACCATATGTCAAAACTGGAACAGATAAATGACAGCGTAAATGTGCAAAATACAAATGTGAACTACGGACAGATTCAACATCCTGAATAAAAATTAAGGATGAATAATATATCATGTAATCAAAAATAGTGTCACAGCAAAGTGGGATAAAAGAGAGAAAAAGACAAAGGCTGTGGAATGAGAAGCAACCATTGCTGGTAACGGTAGTGTTCAGATGTTTGGGACGTGGCCTGAAGGCGAGTGCCGGCCGCTCTCTCAGGTCTCTACTGCTGCATCTTGCGGATGATGTCAGTAGAGACAGGAGGGTGGAAGTTGATGGTGTGGTGGCGGAGACCCTGAGGTGTTTTGTAGAATTTCCCACACCGGCACTTGAAGGGTTTGCGCACCCTTATCTGGGTCCGGTGGCCGTTCTTGGCATGATACTTGATGCCGTTCACATTCTGTAATGAAGCAAGTCGTCACTTTTGACTTGTACTGACCAAAAACCTCACCAGCCTATGAGAGCAGTAACAAAAGGAGCATTGGCTGAGCTTCACACAACACTGCATGGCCAAACGTATGTGGACTCTTGAAAGTCATATCCATATGTGACTGCATTGTGCCCAGGGTCATTTTCACGCTGAATGGTGGCTAGATATTTCACACAGTTACAAAATGTTTAAGCTATACTATGTATTCTCCGGAGAAATGCTGAATTAAACCGACCTTGTATCTCTTTTTACAGCCCGGAACAGGGCAGGCAAAAGGCTTCTCGTCTCCTCCATTCATGCACATGGAACTGAGGATGGACTCGGAGCTGATGGCGCACTCTGTGGTCCACGATTCATCGCTGTCAGAATCCTCAAAGTCGACCTCCTCCTCATCACATTCGCTACCTGTGAAAGAGAAAGTCAAACAGCATCACTACCAGACCTGCAATCATACACACTGATCTCTGTGAAGCCCTGATTTATACACGGTTTGTGACTTGTGATCTTCTGACCTCTGGGCCTTTGACCAAGTATAAACATTTCACAGTATGTGATTTGGGGTAGTGTTCCTATAATCTTTACTTCATGTGTTATAGCACCCAAGTTTTTGGAAAGACTGAAATATGTCAGTCGTGGGAAAGAATGTATGCATTTCTTTAAGCCATTAGATCTGCAAATATAATGCATAAGCTGTGATTTGAAAAGGGATTAAAGAAATATGTACTTTCTGCCAGTATCTCATCGGTGATGGCAGAGATTCAGTGGATGTCTTAAAAACTGAGCTCCTTACTGGCACACCACTCTGCTGCCACCCTACTGAACAATGCTGAGTGTGAGTCCCACTGCAATTAAATATTGGACATCTAACTACAGGAGAGTATGTTACCTGTGGGTGTACTGCTCCGGAAGGAAGAGGAGGGGGTGATGGGTGGGGTGACCGGAGGGGTGAGGTTTCCGCTGGTGTGGCGAGGCGGAGTAGAAACGCTGCTGCGAGATAGACTGCCCGTCTGTGACAGAGACAACTTGGGCTGCACCTTCTTCTTTAAGGTCTCGTGTTCCCGCCGTGCAGCATCTGTCATGAACCTGGCATTATGAAATATAAACCTGATGAAAGTTGCATATTTTTTCTATATTAAGAGAAGCTCATCTCATTCAGTGTACAATGAGCAGCTTGATTCAGTGGAACTCTCCTGATGTTTAGAAAATCTTAAGAGTTCGCTACTGTAGAACACATGCTTGGAATAAAAAAAAAAATTCACTCGTACGCTTTCCTTTAAAGAAAAAAACTTTCACCAGGATTTATGATGGCTAGAAATGTCTTTGATAAGTCTGTCATAAAAATGAAATGTTAACTCGTAGACTATGTTACAGCAAAGTGGAATTACCAAATTAAGGGTTAACCACATCAAGATGTGTCTGTGAAGGCAGGGAGACAGCGGCAGACCTTCTCGTACACTGGCTTGTTGCATAAAGCTTTTAAAAGCACTACTCAAGCACCATATCAAAGACAAGTGAGATGAAGTGAGTGCAGTTAAAAAACAACTACCAAATACTGCAGCAATTCATCTAAGCAATCCACCGTATGACATCTGAATTTGTGGGCAGAACCTCACAGGAGCAGACACTTCATAGGACACAGCAGCAACGCTCACTGATGTAGACAGGTGACGCGCTTTTTCCGGTTATCCACTATGTTGTGCAGTTTGTATGTATTGTTTTGAGAAATGCACTTGGAGATCTGCAAACTTCAATTCTGTTGTGAGAAATGAATGAAAGCGATAGAGAAAAACTGTAAAATATATGACTGATATGGTTGTTTGTCTATGTGTTAGCCCTGCGATGGATTGGCGCCCTGTCCAGGGTGTCCCCCGCCTTTGCCCGATTGCCGGCCGGGATTGGCTCCGGCCCCACCTGTGACCCCGCTCAGGGATTAAGCGGTAGAAAATGAATGAATAATAATTTTGTTAATTTTATAAAGTGGATTCTTTATAAATGAGTTAAAGACAGCAAGTGAACATTCAGATTTTCTTTCTTGATGATAGTTACCTATTGATGTAGCTGAGGGCGACATATGTAGGCTGCTGCTGCTCCTGCTTCTCCAGAAGTCGGGGGTCTGTGTCTGAGCAGATGGGAGAGACAGATGTGGAATAATTAGGCACATAATGTACCATTAAATAATGGCACAGTTCTGTAGCTTTACAAACAGTTCAGTTTTGTCATATAGAAGCCAATACTGCGTACAGCATTGTGCTAGTTCTTTTTTGCACACAAGTTTCACTTGTTTCTTTGTTTCACTGGGAGGATGGAACATTCAGAGGTTTACACTACCCCCAGTAAGCATCCCAACCAACAAGAAGTGCAGTGACCAGGATCCCTCACTGGCTTCCTACTTGCAAAGCGTGCCTCCTCTTTTGAATTTCCACTGCACCTTTAAAAAGACACCACGTTGCTCATACATGACCACACTTCATGCATACAGCATTTCCCATGCTGCGCTCCAGACATTCATCTTGCTCAGCGGTGTTGAATGTACAACAATAGCAAATGTCCACACCCTGAGGAGAAGCAGGCCTGACTTCAAACAGTCTTTCCGCTGCCATACATCTGGGAGAAGACAACAGAGTCTGATTTGCCAGCTCCCCGTCTCCCTCTGACAGAGCTGCGAAACACTGCTACCCCAGTGTGGTTACAACTGTTGCTTTTTTCCATCCAAAAGCTGATGTGAACACAACAGTAACAGCTTAGGCTAGCTGTGGCATCAGAATTTAAATGATTCTTTTGCAGCTTTAAGAAAAAAGACAGGTCTGTCCTAGTTGATGTAGCTTGAAAATGACTATGCCACTGATATAAATCATACGCAGATAAATGTAATTAGTGTAACAAACAGTGTGAGTTTTCTCAGCTAAAGGAGTGAGCAACACCTTTGTGGGGCTGTATTAAAAATATAGCTTTAAAGCCCAGATGTACACATTTTAGAGGTCTAACGTTATCCTGAGTCAAAACATGGCTGTCACTTTCATTTTAAGTAGACATGGGTGTCTACGTAAAGACACATTGAATCATCCACTCAAGGGTTAAGGCCAAGCTGCTTGGTTGATGATAAAATAGTGGCAGAGTTTTATGATACCGGCAGGTATTGTAGGCTCTAAAGAGCAGCTCGACCCTCAGCGCCTGAGGCTCAGGAGGTTTCTCTCAAGGCCTCAGTCATGGGCAAGTGTTTCATTAACAGTGGATTTATCCCCAGAGAGGACAGCACACCTCTTGTCCCCTCTCACCAACCAAAGTCAAGGAAATACAGAGTAGGAAAGACATATTTAAAGAGGAACCATTCCCCTGCCAAAAGCCGGAGCCAGTTCAGAGACTATTCTGAGCTCTGTGTGTTGGTGTGTATGTGTGTGTACATGCACAAGAAAACCCTCATAAGATCTTTAATGAGCCTCCAGGAGTGGAATGGCGACCTGCTCACGGACAGCTCAAACAGCAGTGGATCAATCTGTTCCCACACACTGTAAATCACACACACTTTAGGTGGGGACTGGGGCGGGGGGGGGGGCCTACAGGGGCCAGTTTTCCACAGCCTCTGCTATTCTTTTGGGGACACCAGCAGTCAAGAACCTGGATGAAGGCATCTTAAGCAGAGATGGAACCCCTGTAATCACAATACGAAGGTGGTCCACCTTGGTGGCCAACTTTTAAAAGGCTTCTGGGAAAGAAACGCAGTATTTATTCAAATTATAAACAGTCAGTTCCTATAAGCCCATGTGGATGTTTTACGTAAATGGTGGAAAATGACATGCGGGATAAGGAATAGACAAGTTGGTCATTTAATGTATAACAAGGTTTTATGATTTTCACTAAAAAAAATTTATATATAAAAAAAAAATCTACATTTGTTTTAACTGCTCTGAACTTTAAACTTACTGTGAAAATTTAAAATGATCCCACACAAGGTTTTCATTTTCCAATTTAATATTCAGCAAACTGCTGTTCATAGCAGAGTTCTTGCTTGGCAAAGTAAAAAGAAAAATCTGGACGATTCAAAATGTGTTTCACTGAAGCCGCATGCCTCAATATGTCAGTGCACATCAACACTACTTTCTATATGAAGCACTGACTAAACTTACTGTAGTGTACATATGTGAAATGAGTGTATGGGAGCATATACTGACTGAGTTAGTGTTTATAGTGTATGAGCACAGAATGTTCTCATTAAGACAGCCTGCAACAGGAAACCAAGGATGATCACACATCCAGGCTTCCTAGGTCAACGGGGGAAGTGACGCCTTCTGCCCTCTCATAACATTCTCCGGAATAAACTCCTTCACACACACACACACACACACACACACAAAGAGACCAGACGCATATCTCCCTCTCTCATTTCCACCAGCGTCTGGCTCTCCCATCCACCCTCATGGCCAAATGCACTGTGGGGTAGAGCAGAGTGGCGAGCATTATGGTGACATGTTTATGGCGGCTCTGAGCAGCAGGGGACATTACCAGGAGTGGTGGCACAGGTAATTCATTACGATGTGACCTCTAAGGAGGAAATGAAATGGAGTCAAGCTCCATGTGTAGGCTGCCTTTGTGGGTTACTGAAAAAACATGGGAAGGTTAAAATAATCTATTATAAATATGTTTAGTACAGACAGCGACTTAAACATGTACCCGCACTAATTCATACACACATCCACAAAGACAACACAAAAAAACCCACACATTCATCGACGCCTATTGCATCACTGCATACATATGGTGCTTGGATTCTGTGACGTTAGGACAACGGCTAACAATTACTGAATGTTCAGTTAATCTGCTGATTGAATTCGGCACAAATCATTTAAGTGGTAAGTTTTCAAAGCATCCAAAAACTGCTTCTGAGTCAGATTTGTTGTGTTGTCTCACAGGCCTTTTAAAAATCCAAATCTATTTAGTTTACAATGAAGTAAAAAAGACAAAAGCCACACATCATCACAATGGAACTTAACTGCTGCTCTAGTAAATTATTTCTGCTTGGAAAAAAACAAAACACAAAACAGCAATTGACATGGAACAATCTAATATGTTTAACATTGTCCATTACCCTGTGTTGTGTCATGTCACCGGAGGCTGTAAGTTATCTCCTCATGTCACAGTCACAGCACAGAAACAGGGGCAGCGATATTGGGGGATGGGGAAATGTAATTAGTCCCTCCAGGTGCACAGATCAGGGAACTAGTTACTGCTTCCCAAATTTATTACTTCCACACAGATTCTGGGGGTGCATACTAAAATCTTCTAAATGAGCTTCCAATGAGGTCTGGTAGCAAACACACGCACACACACACACACACATTCACAGGTCTAAATAACATGGTCACTTTTGGCTTCTGGTCTACAGTGGCCTGGTTGCTCAGTGACAAACATTACACTGGCTAATACCAAAGAATCCCAGACCACTGAGGAGCTCTTTCAGGGTCAACAACATGTTAAAACCTTCCTCTTCTCTTGCTTATGTTGTCTTTGACACATTAGCTTCTGTTCTCTTCCAGTTAGCTGAATATGTTCAAAAGACCTAGGTGGACCAGCACAATGCTGATGTTATCAACTTAAACCTACTGTTACAAAGGTGGAGGAAACAAAAGCTGATCCATTATGGGTTTTGAATGGTAAACAAACTGGAACTTATTCTGGCTTTTTAAAGGTACTGTACGATCTCAATCATCCTTCCAGGAGATGGAAGTAATACTCTTACAACATATTGCTATATCTTCAAATGTATATTTTAATTCTGCATCTTATCACAAGTCTTCAGACAATTTATAATTTCTGTAATAACGTCCTGATGTCTAATATGAAAAATGCAAGGAGCACATTGCAATATTCTTAAGTATGAGAAGTATCCTTTATATTATCAAGTATTTCCATCCAGCCATCCATTATCTATACCATGTATCCTTAACAGGGCAGGGGACTGGAGCCTATCCCAGCTGACATTGGGCGAGTAGCAGGGTACACCCTGGACAGGTTGCCAGTCTAATCACAGGGCTCACAACCACACTCACTCCTATGGGTCACCACATGTCTTTGGACTGTGGAAGGAAGTCGGAGTACCTGGAGAGAACCCACCAAGGCACAAGCAGGACATGCAAAGAAAGAAACCGGGTCAGCTGGGACTCGAACCCAGAACCTTCTTGTTGTGAGGTAACAGCAGTAACCATGCTGCACCTTATCAAGTATCTTCTCATCAAATTACAGGTTCTCTTTTGCAGTATGTTTTAATATACTATAGTGAAGCCCTTTGGCTGGTAACAGTGTGGTAGCATACACAAGGAAGTAAGTTTTGGTTTGTAATATCCATCTTCATCTTTAATTGTACAGGCCAGGCATCTGAAAAAGGCTCCACCAACCCACAGCAGAACAGTGCCACCTCTTGTTCACAGACCTGACTAGTTGGAGAAAACAGCCAGGAAAGTGTGCTTGTGTTCCAGGCACCTAATGGACAATGTGCTTTAAGTAGCAGCCCACCAAATGAGAAGGAAGACAAGCCAAATCAAGCACTCTTTCTGTAATTATGTTTCACAGGCAGTTGGCACAGCTTGCAAGATTTTGCACTTCTCTGAGTGGGCACAGGCCAGTGGACAAAGAAAAGGGGCAGCAAAGTTTTTCCACTCGGAGCCAACTAATTGCCTCATTATTCCCCAATAAGTCATTTAGAAGCATTTTTTTCTAAGGCTAATACGTCGGACGCATGCGCCACACACAATTAGAGGACAGAGGATATTAAAGCCAGTCAAGCAACAAACAAGAACAACAGAGACAGATGGGCCTTGTCAGCTTCAATAATAATAGTCTGAAATACTAGATTTAACTGTGTTAACAGATATAAATGCTTCAGCGCTTTGCAAAAATGCAACGTGCATAACAAATTATATAACTAAGCTAAACTTGTAGTTTCTGAATAACTTCAATGAACACATGTGCATAGCAATATTCTAGGCCAAAGGTGATAATTAAGTACACAAACTTCTATATACACTTATTTGCTGTTTATGTGTATAGAGGCTATAAATAAACACACAACCACTGAGAATTTTAATTAAAAACCCTCCAATGACATTCTATAAATTAAACACCATACTTTTATTTTTACATATCACTGAAGTAAATAAAAACAGGTTTTCACTTGTACACAGAGGCCTCGTAAAGAATAAAGCATAAATTGGTTTACATGTTCCCGCTCCTTAGCACGTGGAAGCACTAAATTTAACTGAAATTATTTTTATATGTAGGCTAAATATTAAATTACTTCATTAAACAAAATTCTGTGATTAAAAATTTTGCCTATCATAATTAATCCAATCTCTACTCTCAGTTCTTGTTATAGTGTTGCCCCACATGAACTAGAGGTGGCGCTGTTGATCGTGCAGACTTGTGCAGTCAGGAAGGCAGCACCTTTGAGCTGCTCTAGGCCACTGATGGCAATGATTAATGCTATAAGCTGGTGAGTATTCTACTGTTGACCTGTGCTCATGTGGGACTGGACACGATTTAAATACAATACAATTGAAATATAAAACTGTATTATTAATATAATTTTTACCATGTTGCACTTATGATAGTCACAGTGGACACTCAAAGTCGAAATCTAAGGATAAGGGATAATCACTTTATTTTGCCAAGTATGTTAAACACACAAGGAATTTGTTTCCGGTACAGAACCGAGGCAGCAATCTGAGGATAATGGAATATACCAAGTTACTCTCATAATGTTATAAAATAAAAACAGCAGTAATATTTGGATTAGTAGACATTGCACAACAATGACTTCTCAAGAATTATTTAAAAAACTAATGAAGAATTGCTGTGATGTTTATTTATTTTTGTTTTTATCTTTTAAGTTGCAGAAATTGGTTTCCATACAATACACATCTGAAACTGGTAACATGATAAAAGTTAGAAAAGCATTAGTCCAGCAACACTTGAGAAGAAAAGATCAACATGTTTCGGCATGAAGCCTTTGTCAGGGTGTGACGAAGGCTTCATGCCCTTCTTATTAAAGTTGTTCAAGACACAACATGTGTTGGTGGACTTTGTGTTTTCCACTTTGTTTTTCCTTGTCAGTGGGTCAGTAGTTGTGCCATAACTTTCTGCTGTAACATATAAAAGTTAGACGTACAAGTGCCTTATTATGAACATACTGTATATGGATAAATATCTATATACACCATTTCACCATTAAATATATATGGTGCCTGTCAGCTGATATAGGTGGAAAAAATATGTATAGATACTGTATTGGTTATGACAAGAATACAGTACTATTTTGTTCTTTTATCAGTCTGCCCATTCAATAAAAGGAGTGTAGGAGTCCAGCAATGTGTCATGTACACTTGTGCTAAAGGCCAAAAATTGTTAATGACTTATCTCATCCATTGTAGAATACGAGATACTAAATTATGAGCTACTGTACATCTCATTTAAAAAAAAAAAAGTTTTTCATATTGTAGCCTAAACTTTAATGATGAAAAACGTGTTTTTAACAAATTGTGTTAAAAAAAAGAAACTATTTCCATACCAATAGTAACACCGAATTTGAAAGGTCATATCAATATGAAGATACATGGGAATACATTGTGCATCTCCAAAAAAGACCCTGACAGTCAAGTCTACACGCCACCGAGCTGTATAACGAGCCAGGCCTAAACTACATCACTTTCCGAGTTGCTGAATACAGTGAAGCAGCGTTTGATCCAGGCTGAAACTTAACGCAAGTAGTATAACTGAACTACGCTGATAATTACTCGGTAGCTTTTCATTGGCTCGTGCAGACTGCAAGTTAACTCGCGGACGCTTCCAGGTCTGCGCGCGGGCCTTGCGCTTCAATAATGTTGCGCGAGCGTAATTAAATTGTTGTTTCAGTGCTGCTCTGTTGGTGCTGCAGCTGGATAAGCTGTGATAAACGTTGTTACCGAAATACGGGCGATGAACAGGAACGATAATATTTACAGGAAACATCAACAGCTACCACACCTAGCAACAGAGTTGTCAGGACGCAGGAAGTTACATGCTAGTTCGCTATTAGCCACTTGTGCTAGCTGCAAGCCTGGGCCACTGCAGACTGCGGCGGCGGTGATTACTTATCGGCTCTTACCGATGTGGTTATCCTCGATGTGCACAATGAGCTCGGCCAGAGAGTCGAAGTGAAGTCCGCAGGCCCCGAATCTGCATGCGTTGGAAAAGAAAGAAGCAGCGGCGATGCCTGTCATGGTCACTGCTGCATTGGGAACGAAGGCAGGCAGCAGCAGCAGGAGAGCAGCGGTGCGAACAGCTGGAGCGGCAGGGGCGGTACGGTGCCTTCTCTGAGCTGCGTCAATCGGATGAGGAGAAACAGCTAGACCGGAAGTAAGACGGCTTGGCGTTCAGTAGAAAAGCATAAGCTGTTTTGTTTTTGTTTCTTTTTAGAATTTATATATAAATAGATGCATTTGATCTAATAATTGTGAAATTATATCTCTATTAATATGTAAATGGATAATTAATATTACGATAAAATATCGAATGTCGTTTGCACTAAAACATTTACTAAAACATAACTAAAATATAGGCTACAGCAATAAATTGACATAAATTATAGACCTGTTACATTAAGTCATCCTAATGATAAACTATCCCATTAATATTCAGGCAAAGGCATAGTTTGTCACGACAAAACTCACGTAAATCTACAGTAATTTCAAATTTTTATTTGTAAAAATTTGAGAGGAAATCTGTTTTAATTCCGTTGTACTTCGGCGTGAAGTAGGCTACGTGCAGTATGCTGCATTTAGTTTGTGTCTTTACTACACTTGGCAGCCGGGAGGAGAAAGGATATCATTGCCACAAATCTGCTAATCGTTTTCTTTGTCTTTCACTGTGCAATTTGCCTCCCATGCCTGACAGGGTGTGTGTAGGGCCTGCTGCCTTATAAAGGGTTTGAGTTTATTTAGGCCTAAATCTAAATCCGGATTTGTGTCCACTTCTATGTCTATCCACATTAAAACGATCTAATATAATTAATCCATTAACCAATATCAATATCAGTATTCATTTTTGGTGGTGGTGTATCACATACATTGGTGCCACACTGGATCAACAAGTAAACTAAAACATATTGTGACCACAGTGTGGCAGTGTTGGTCAGTAGATAAATAAAAGTCGAGCGTGTTCTTTGAGTTAAGTAATTTAAAGGTCTTCTGTAATTATCCCAAACTAAACCTGTCCAAGACTGTTGATACATACCTGATCCTAGAAAGCAGTGTCATATATATTTGAAATTCATAATGTGTCAGTTTATCTATCATGTGATGTCAAGTTATTTTAGCCATTCAGTCATTTGAGATTGAGACATACTAGATAAAGCATATTGCCATTTTGATATATGAGATGCTCTCAGTCATAAAAATAGTCAGTAACCTGGCGGAGTCAGTTATAGAATAGATTTTAAATTTCTAGTGTCACAGAAAGTAAACAAGTATGGCTTTGTGTACTCATCAGACCAATAGAAATTAAAGATTGAATGAAGAAAATGAAGAAATACTTTTTTAAAAGTTTGCTTTCAGGGAGTGATGCAAATCACTTTCACAACAAAACCTGATGTTTGCGCAATACACATGTAAGTAGGAAGTGTGTATCCTTGTGTGCATCTATGGAAATTTAGAATTTCTTAGATTGGCAGATCTGCTGCAAATTGGCCAGGGGTTTTACAAAACTAAAGCAGTAATATTTACTAACTTTAACTTTTCCAGTTTTTATGTTTTGTTTTTTTGCATTTACTGGCACAGCAGTAACTTTTATTTTGTGCCTGGTGATGGTGCAATGGGTCATTGGGCCCAGCCCATTTCGAGATCAAGCATGACAGTGAAAGTAAAACTATTTTCCAGTTTGTGCTTGAGAACATTGTTGGGCATTATTTTGAAAACATGACATCACGCTTACTCTCCTGTTTGAGGAAGCTCATGGCTTTTATTTAAAAAGCTGGCTTTGCCTGTCCTCATTTATTGATGGTTGCACTTAATTATCATAGTCGCAGCTAATGATTACTGTTCAATTTGTTATAGCCCATTAATGTAGATGAGGTAATAGACACATTTTCTCCACTAGAGATTTACTGAATAGGTTATTTACCATCGGTGTGGAAACGTGCAGGGGAAGTCTCATTTTACAGCTGCTGGTAAGTGACCAAACCCTGTTACACTCTGGGAATAAGCAAATATGTTGGAGTTAACCAACAAGATAATTTGCTCCTTGTTAGATACTTATACTCATAGAGACACCTGAATCCTTCTTTTATAATTTAACACCAAGGGAAGACTTATTCTAATCCAGTGTAATTCACTGGGTGTCATATGGCCTGAGACTTTGCAGAACTGAGATTTTCCAGCTTCACTATGAATTTGTATTTTGTAGCACTTTTATAAAACCTGTTTTTTAGGCCAAGGTAAATTATAAAGGAAGGAGCAATACAATACCACTTGACAAATTAATCCAAAATATTTATCCATATGCTATTGTAATGTAATTTATAAAAATTAAATCTTTACAATGAAGGGTATAAAGTTACTTTATTATCATCCATTTATATTATATGACACTTTTCAAAACCCAGCCAGATGATATTTGTGCATTTAAATTTTTACAAATGTGCTTAATAATCCAGTTTAGGCACACGCAGAGGCCAAGTTCATATGTCAAAAGAGTGATGTACAGTACTTAGCCACAAATGCTGAGCACTGCCATAAATCTAAACAGCCATCACACACGCAGCACCATTCACTGGCCACCTAATGTAATGTTACAGGGTCGAGTGTTTGAGTGTTGGAATGTCACTGGGGTTATCTACTGGGAGCCTCCCAGCACATATGTTTTGTTGAATTAGGCTCTCAGTTACACCACAGTGATTATTGATGTCCCAGGACCCATGTCTCTCCAGTCTTCAACAGTGATATAAATGAAGTGAAGTAAATAGAAGCTAACAGCTTGAAGCTGCAAACTGGATTTTTTTTTAGTTTGCAAAGAATCTTAATTTGCCCAGAATGCATACCTAATTAGTCCTACTTAAAATAGTATGATAATATAATATAATAATTATTTTTGTGAAACCATGATGTTTTTTTCCTTCTGCCACAGTAATACTGTCTCTTGTACCAAATCAGCATGCATGCTATCACAATTTTTAAAAGAGGAAGCTTGCTTTACTTTGCTTAATGCAAACATTGACATTTAGAAGAATTAAATACAGAAACATAAAATTAAACTTGGCCTCCATCGTTTGGTAAAATAAACATGATGGTTTGCAATTGTGTAATTTCTTCTGTGGACTAGAATTTGATTAGAATTTCTCTTTTTTTTTTAATCCTGGAAAAATGAACATTTTGAATTGTATTTGCAAGGGGTCGGGTGATGAATCTGAACCACTGTATTTAAACTAATTGTGCGTTTGTCACGCTCCTGCCACTCTTGCTTCCTGTCATGCTTTTTTTTCACATTACTTCCTGTTTTGTTTCACCTCAGTTTTGGCCCTTTTATTTAATCATCATTAGTTCACCTGCTCCTTATTGTTTGCACCTGTTTTTTACTTCTATTTAGGCAGCGTCCTCCCACCAGGACACTGCCAGATTGTTCTAGACCCCAGCTCTGACTCTCCAGCACTTATACCTTGCCTGACTCTCTGTTTCTCACCTTGGATTACCGTTTTTTGACCACCGTGTTTTGTCTATGCCCTCCCAGATTCTGTTCGCTTGCAGTGTACCGACCTCGAGTTTGGATCCCCTGGCTATACCTGTTTACCGGCGCCGACCCTGGACTGTCTTATCGACCTGATTGATATCCTGGACTTTGTGTTAGTTGTTTTGCTTACAACAAGTAAAGAACTTGTCGCTACCTCGGTTCGTCTGGTTTTCTAATTGAGTTCACCACAACCTCTGTTTGGCATCTGTACATGCCAAACCTGACAGCGTTCATTTTAAATTTCCATAGTAATTTTTTTGTTGAGGTGTTGTAACGCCATGGAGTGACACTGAGAGCCCCCCCACATTTCCATCCCTGCAGCTATAGTCACCTAAGAGCAGGACAGGAACAGCTCATCTGTTTGAGCATTGATTGTTGTACAAAGTTAATGTGTGCGTATATGTAAAACAAATTGAAAACTTGTATGAAACTTTTATCATTTAGCCTCCTTCACCTTTTGCACCTCAACAAAGCATCCTCAGAGGTGTTAATCTTCCCTCGGTGGTCTTACTCACAAGTAATGCACAAAGGCATAATAATAAAAGGTTTAGGATAATATAGATCAAATCAGCTTTAGTGTAGGTCACTGACCCAAACTGTATTGGCTCTTTCCAGCCTTAATAGTCTGCTCCTCTGGGAGGATAATGTTTGGATTGGTTGGGAAATATATTGGCAATAAAGAGACAAAAGGCTGTCATAAACTTTGATTAAAGCCTTGGTTAAAAGAAAGAGGCGGAAACGCTTTGAGTTATGAGGGCTTTTCAGACTGTGTTATTGTTTCAGTGACAGAGCTCTTAGTGCGTCTAGCGGAGTGGTCACAGGTGAGTGGTAAACATTTCTCAATGTGTGAGGAGCCATTAATCTCCATAGCCAAGGATGGCTTCACTACCTGTGTCTATGGGCCAGGAAAACACAGTCAGCTGGCACAAGCAGGCCACACAGAGCTCCAGCATACAGACATACTGTAAATGCTCTGATCACCAAAGCTGTTTAAATGTCTTCTAATGTACAGTACCTAAGGTACACGTTTCAGATAAAGCAGTTTGGAACAACTACAGTATATGGTTCACTTGCTGAATTCATGTAAAGCGAAGCTGTTGGTGACACAGCTAAGTTCTTCCAGGTTATGGCCCTTTGGTTAAAGATAATTTTTTGAGCTCTAAGAAAATAGCTGAAATGAGTTTGATTCATATGAGTATGATCAAAAATGAGCTGTTCATAACAGTAACATGTAGTTTTGATGCTGAGAAATATAAAAACCTATCACAAAAGGGTCTTGAAAGCTGCAGGCTTAATGGTTTGTGCTAATTTAATTGAAATAATTACTGTATATGACTGATAGGTGAGTCCAGGCATGTTTTCTAATCACAAGGTGGTGTCTGAAGACAAAAACTATGTTCAAGGCCTTTTTTATTTCACTTTTGCAATCACAGGTTGTATATATTTCTAAATTAATTTGTGTTTGATCAAACCTGGAGCCAGGTAGCTGTCCAGCTTAATAATAAACTTTAAAAATAAAGTGGTGAATGGGAGTTTAATGGTGGCACAACACGTTACTTTTGCCTCAGGGCCCTATAGCAGGTTTATCTGGCCATGACTATCACTACAAAACTCCCTTATGAAATGAACAGCTTGTAATTGAAAGGCTTGGTTTCATGTAACGTCCCTCTGGCAAATATTGTCTGCTTTATTTTCTGTATCTAACTAATCCAGTAGAGCTTTCTCACACAACACATTCTGAGATGTCACAGTAGGAAAAGCACAGGTGGAAATAATAAAATTAATGATGGCTGAACTCTTTTTACCTGTGCCAGTGTCAGGGTCCTGGTTTGTGTGTCACACTGTCCTGGAGACATGAATAGCCACAGTTAATGTTATTAGTAACAGGTGTGTTCTTCCTACTGTGAAAGGTCAAAAATGTATGAATGAATGAATGAATGACACTTTATTACAGACTCAAGGTCCAGGTTCAAAACAAATAAAAGCAATAAAAGAACAGTTTAAAAACGAAACAATAAAAACAGAAAATACATAAAAACGAGAGCAAAAGAACACCCATAAAACTACTGCCCCTTTAAAAGACAGGTATACCCGTGTTTCCAGACACAATGCTGTAAGAAAGGACTATTTTAAATGTAAGTTTTCTGTGTGGCTGAAAGCACTGTAGCACTGCTGCAGGGCAAAAAGGTTTGGGGTTCAAATCTAGACTGGGGCCTTTCTGTGTGGAGTTTGCATGTGTGGGTTTTCTCCATGTTAGCTAATGAGGTTTCCTCCCACAGTCCGGTGGCACGCTGGTTAGGTTCACTGGTCACTGTAGGTCCGTGCCTGTGTGTCAGCCCTGTGATAGACTGTTCACTGGTACACCCTGCCTCTCTCCCAGTGTTCGCTGGTGTTGTCTCCAGCTCCCTGTGACCTCTTGTGAACAAGAAAATATGAACATTTTGAACTAAATTAGTTAGTATTATTATTACTGTGCCTTAGTATTGTCTTTTGAGTGAAAAATGTGTGATGTTCTAGGTGCTTGGTGATGGGACAGACTTATTTCAGAATCATATATATTCTATATATGAGTTTTAACTATGGATACATTATTGTGCAAGCAACTGATAAATATGGGGGTTGTTTTAATTACTATATATAACTACTTTAATATTATAATAATTATAATAATTTAAACAATCTGTTACATCATAATCTACTTGTAATGTTATATTCTATTGTCTTGTGTAGGCTATTGATAATTTACATCAGCAAAGTAACTAGTGCAGCAGCTTTTTCCCTCGGAAATGTAGTGAAGTCGAAGTATAAAGTAGTAGAAAATGGAGTACTAGAGTAAAATACTTTGCACCTTTGGCGACAAGATGCAGCACAGTGCACTTATTTGCATGTGTAATTGGTAGGCTCTGCACCACACCCACTCCATGCCCGTCCGTCCATGCCTCTCCCTGGGTGTGTATTTGCAAACTCCGCCCTGCTCGCGCCGCCTCCGAGCGGACCGCAATGATTTAGAAGTTCAGGAATCCCACGTGACGTCACCCGGGGTGACGTTATGCTTCTCTAAATAGACCGTATTGTAATCTTTTCGCAGTCCAACGTGGTTTCTTCTGAGGGACTGCTTCACATTGTCTGCACTTGTTTGGTAAGTTGCAAACCTCATACCACCATGCAAGTGAGCGTGCATGCGCCTGTAAAAAGCGATCCTTGTTACTTTCCCCCTCCTTTTTTCATGCAACAGCTTGTTTTGTTGTTCGGTTCGGCAGCCCTGGTCAAAATGCTTTTTCTTCGTGTAAGCAGCTAATTTATGGCTACAGTTAAAAGAGATGAAAGTGTCATGTTAGTTTCGCCAGAGTAAGTGCATTGTCTTCTCACTTCGGTGTCCGAGCGTCGGCCTGTTAACTGTTGTTGAAGTTGAAGCAGAGTGAAGTTCCGCTGCTGCTGCTGCTGCTGCTGCTGCTGCTCGGTCTGTCACATCTGCAGGAGTTCATGTCAAGCCCGACTAAAAACTACAGACAGTGTTATTGCATGGGATCGGTTGCACTGCCATTTACACCAATTTGGCATGACTTTCAGGTTTTCTGCTCGCTCTCAGACACACTGCTGGAGCCCCGCATCGCTGTCATGCCTGTCCTATCTCGGGATACGCAGAGCCGCCGGTCCCAGACTCTCTGTGTCAGTGTGCTGATCGTCTGGAAAGTGATAGCTCTGTGGTTTGGCTCTCATGGCAGCTAAAAAGAAACGAGCGATGTCCCCCGTTCCCATGAAATTTATGATTTTTTTTCTGGTGAACAGCACTGTAACTAACATTACGTCATTCTGCAGGCCAGGCGACGTGATTAGCCGCTGAAATGTGGAGGGCACTTTCGGGATGGTTGTGCTGACGAGGCGCTCTTTAAAAAAAAAGAAAAATGTTTTAATCATTTGATGACTGTGCTCTCATTATGTTTATGTGACAACCCTATCAATAACCACTTGCGTCTCGTGCACGCTGCTTTAAATTATTGCGCAAGCTTCCAGTTTTATTGTGTCCCTTTAAATGGCTTTGTTAACACCAGATGATGTATTTAGGAGTGCTGACAATATTACAGACTGACACTGACTTAAAAGCCGCTTTTTAAACGCGAACCTGTTATAGAATATAATTACAGGTTGAGAAAAGATAATGACTATTCTTTTTCATATTTTTTTTCCAACTTCTTTGTTGCAAGGCGCTGTACAAAATGTTTTCATTTTTCTTTTGAGATTGACAAACTGGCTCATTGCAGCAATGAAATATGATCTATATTGAGTTTGTTTGTTGATGGTTGTTGCATGTGCTCAAGGTGAAACATTCCTCTGGTAATGACTGTACTAATGTAGGAAGGGGTCAAATGACAGAAATTATAACACCAATCACATGGTGCAGGCAGCAGTTTGGGCACAAAGAAGCCTCCACATTTTATTTTGACTTATACATGTTTAATGCAAACATACTGTAGTTTCCCACAATGGTATAAACATTTTAGTGATATCTGTCATGGGTTTACATGTTATGAAAGAGACCAGAGAGGTTTACACAGCAGTCTTTTTGTGTCACAGTGAGTTCAACAGGGCCATGTCCCCTGCCTCAGGGATCGCCATCATCCTACCTTGTACTTGTAGTGTCAAAGGCCCTGGAGCTGAAGATTTGAATTGCTGCACATGTTTGTGTTTGCTTTAACCCTGTATGCCTTTGCACCCCAACCCCTCTTTTCCTAAACATGTTGTTTAAATTCTAATGTGTGGTCTACCTGGAGAATTCTTCTCCAGTTCCTCTTGAAATTGAACGCTGGACCCTATAATCCTTCCCCTTGCACACATCAGGATATAGTTAATGTAAAGTGTAACCAAATTTCCTCTGCTAAACTAAAACATCTATATCAAGAGCCAAGTGCCCTTTCCAAGGGATGGGAGTTGAGTACTGATAATTTGAAGTGTGAGAGCTTTCATAATTCACAAAGGCATTCACAGAATTAATGGTTAAATGTTTTGTGCTTCATATGGTTTGAATTTCCTGGTAATGAAATGACTTCATATTATTTTAGAAATTGAAACAGGAACATAAAAGTTACATTTCTGCTTCTATTTTAAAAGATATGTATTATCTTTTTTTTAGTTTTCATTTGTGCTTTCAAGTGACATCCTTTTCTATTTATTGTTAACTTTAAAATGTAAATGAAGTGATTCATAGGTGTTTACACATAGTCAAGAATAAAGCCTGTGACAACAAGTAGTGTACAAACAGCTGAAAGTTCCATGTAACTGCATTTTCAGTGTTGATTCAAGACGTGAGTAATTAGCAACATGTCTGTGGGCTTCATCCTTGGTTTAGTTTGGGCTGAGGGTTAGGCTCAACCGTGCTAGTCATGTTTGTTGTGTCAAAGGAGACCAGGTGAGTTTTTAGGGGCCCCGTAGAAGAGACAGAGCGAGCTGGTGACAGAGAGAGAGAGCAGGGCTCGTTGCTCTCTGACAGAGAGACCCTGTCCAGGCCCTGTTCTGCAGGCTCAGTCATGAAGTACAGCTTGTTAGGAAAACAGCGCTTAGCATAACACAATATTTGAGTGTTTTCACTGTGCTTGAAAAAATAGTCTGCGCCCGTGAAAAAGACACTCAGTGACATGGTGTATGAAGGTATTCATGCTCGACACGTGACATGGCATCGGCTTGAATTTCAGATGTGTTGCAGTTCTCATGAATCGATGATGACGAAAGGTAAAAAGTAATAAACTTTGTGTTGTATGTGTCTAGCAAATGAGAGCTATATGGTGCAGCATCACAGCTGTGATATTAGAGATTTTTCATTCATCACAAATGATAAACAAACTGCATTAGCTTCTTCATCCCTAGGTTTCTTCATTTTAGCTTTGTTTTTAGGGTGTGAGAAGAGAGAGGCGATGTGTTTTTGTCCAGGCACCATTAAAATAGTCTGTGAAGGCCTAATTCACTTATTGGAGCACAAAATGTGTGTCCATATTCACATGCGTGTTAGGCCTTTGGTTCAAACCTCACTAGGACCAACGGAGGCCCTCCTCTATGGGGTTTAAATGTTCATTCCCTGTTTGCATATCCCATAACAAAAGACCTGTTAAGTGTTACCAGTCTTCCTGCTTGCTGTAATCACGGCAGTGGCTCCAGGCTGAAGATGGACCCTGGGTGCTGTGCTGTGACTGCACCTAGAAGGGAATTAATAAAGATTACCTTACCACATGTTATACTCACTTAACATCTGTTAAAACATCTGTCAGACAGTTCTGGGAATCTTTAGCACTGGCATACCACTTTGAGATTGTTTGTCAGCAAGGATGATATTTTTACACTTTACACTGAGCAATGATAAAACCTCCAAATAAGAGGCGCTTTGTTGAACAAAACCCAGCAGTCACCAGATATGTCAGGGGCAAGGTCAAATCCAAAGAATACTCAAATAATACTTTTTTCTATGCCCGTTTAAGGTATATTTTTTCTATAAATCCATATACAGTATAATCATTTAAATAATTGTATGTCTTAACACAAACATCGTAATAAAAATAGCTTAAATAAAATGCAGTACACAATTATAAATCACTGTTTAATGAACACATAAGCTAGGAACCGGACCAAGCTTTCAGTGCCAGCTTTTGGTACCCGACAGCTTTAATACTCAGGATGTTCACTGATTTTTAAAGCAACTACAGAATGCATCCTTTGTGTTACTGTGTGTGATTTTGTTTCTCTTGTCAAACAGAGAGCCAGGATAATATTTAAAAGAATTTGTAGGCCTATAATTTTTATGTGCATGTGGATCAGTTTTATAGTTTCAGCAGAACACACTCCTCTTTTCTGGGAAAGTTTGTCCTCTTTTCACTTTGAATTATTAAAGCCTCTACAGCGATAAGCCATCGCACATCTTTCATGATAAATGGCTCTAGTGTACTGAGCTATTACTTCTAAAGCACAAATTTGACAGTAGTTACAGGTAAGCAAATATACAGTCCTCTTATTTATAAGCTTTAACATTTTTTAAAGTTGAGCAAATAAACTGCAGTGCTGTTCTTTTCACCACTTCCCTTGTTTTTACTGCGAAGTGTATATCAACTGAATAATCTAAAATTAAATCTTTAGACTGTACAGCCCAAACTTGAAAATACTATATGGTGCCAGCTTTAAAATACTTGAATAAGTGGAAATCAATATTTCATGTTACCACCGGGGAGTAGTTTTTGCCAGACGAGTGCCATACAGTATGTGCTAGACCAGATTCTGTCACTTTGTGGTGAGAGCAAACAATTGAAAACACCTCCTTGAAGCTGTGGTTTCAACATGATGTTGGGGTTTGGATCGAACTTTCAAACATGGTTTCTTATGTCATTGTTCCCCCCCCACATTTAAGCTGAAACTCATCACAGTTGTCCCAAGATGTATAAACATATGTATGTACCTCTGTATACACAGTTGGCTGAACAAAAAGGCCACTGAATGAGTAGCAGCTGTAGTTGTAGGTTTTACTGTACTATAGCAATACTTTATTTATTTGTTGTTCTTGTTGTGTTCTTTGAACAGCTTCTGTGCGATTATATGCAGCTATTAGTATGTTAGTCCCGTTAAATGTTTTCCCAGTACATGAAAGTTTGTGCTGAAGTTACTGAATCCAGTTTCCAGTCTTTGCAAAGCCATCAATCTTGATGCCAATTTAGAGGATCCTAGGTTATTCTAGTACAAGAAAACAGTCTGTTTATTACTGAAAATAACCACATAGCTTTTTCAGGTGCGGTGGCAAGTTTACGTCTAGTGTGACACAGAATGTGTGTTTTTCCTCTTGGGTGCTGGCAGGGAAACCCAAGTCATTCACTTCCTCTCCTTCCTCTCTTCTGTTGTGTGTGTGTGTGTGTGTGTGTGTTTTTCTTTTTGTAGTTCTATGAGAAGTCGGCCAGAGTGATGAACTCAGACCAGGAAAGGCCATTCGTGTGTAATGCTCCTGGCTGTTCTCAGGTGAGTGTGCCGAGGTAAAATAAAATAACACAATGAGATGTGTGTGTGTGTGTCTGCCTGTAATATGAAGAGGTGTACTGAGGACGCCTAAGGAGTCAATTACTGGCTCACTCATAAGAAAGAAAGAGAATAGCATGGAACTGAGTGAAAGACTGTAAATAATGCTGCAGGTGTAAAAATACCTAAAGGAAAAAAAAAGCATTTGAAGTCAACACCACAGCTGATGCTCTGTTAGGCTGTACTCTTTAAAGGGAGAATAACAGTGAATGTGTGTGATTATTTTACACTTGCATATAACAATTTTTACAATCCTACTTTTTAAAAACTTGATAGCGATTCCCCACGGAGGACCACCTGATGATACATCGACACAAACATGAGATGACCCTCAAGTTCCCCTCCATAAAGAACGACAACATGTTATCAGGTGAGCAGTGGATACAGTACAGCAGACACACACTACCTCAGAGGGCCTGATGGGGAACAGTTCATATGCAGGTGTGCGCCTTGGTGACTCATACACAGACACACTTCTATCATCAGAAACCTTTATGGCATGTCTATACCACTTGTTTACAGTAATGTAAATCATATGACACGTAAACTCGCAACTAGGCTCTCTGTTCTGTGCACACGACTTACACTCTTCAGCAGG